GGCCTTTTTGGAAACACAGGAAGGAGCAATCAGCTAAGTGGAAAAAATCTTTCATTCCTTTAGAGACAGCATGAAAAGTCAGCTGAGTACAAAACATAGAGAGGAAAACAAGAAGAAAGGGGACAAGAGAGGGACAAAACCTAGAACAGATAATAGATGTCTATTCTATTAACATTTCTCTATCTGTAGAATGGGTCTGTTTTATGTGTTGTCCTCTTATCTCAGAGGGCCCCCTGCCTGTCTTTGCCTAGGGCCCAAATTTCCCGAATCCACCCCTGCTTACATCTATCTCTAAAGATCAGGTCACTGCTTTTGAAAATATGGATTACATTTTAGGTCAATAAGTGGACTAAACGTTCCCTTATTTTTATTTCTGTTTTTCTGAATGATGCATTTCTACCAGAAACTGGCCTAAATGTCCAGGAAGTGCCTGACTCTGCTTTTAAATCTCCAGCTTTGGTCATCAAACAATAAATAATTTAGTTTATCTGTAACATTACTTGTTGGAATATTTTGGCCGGATCCATAAAAATAATGGTATTGCTACTTTCAAATAAAGTAATTCATTTTATTTTGTTTTAATGAAGTAGCATTGCTAGTCTTTGCTATTTTTTCATTATTGTTTTATCATTGTCTTTTTTTAATGTTTCAGCTTTGATCTGTCTCATCAGGATGTTCATAGTTCTCATTTTTTCCCCTTTATTCCAACCATTAAACCATAAACGGCTTCCTTTGCTACACTGGTTTGTATTTAGTGAAGCTCAAATTGGAGCGCCCTCTGCTGGAATAATACAATAAGCTGCCTTCAAAGATAACCAGGACCTTTCTGCTCGGTCTGGTTTGAATAGCTCAAAGTATAAACCTATAAAAAATATTTCATGTCTTTTAGAGTTTAGAACATCAGTGTGATGCTGTGAGGCAGGTTGGTCTACTGATAACCATCAATTCAGTTTATTTCTATTCACAATACATGTCATCAGATCAAGTTTTCTATCTAAGGAAATCCAACTGATTGAATCGACTCATTGACTCAAATTCAATCCCTCACAGTAAGCAAGCTTGTAGCGACAGTGGAGAGGAAAAACTCCCTTTTAACAGGAAGTAATAACCTCCAACAGAACCAGACTCAGTGTGAGTCATCAGGTTTTAACTATAACTGCTGTTTGTGTGGATTGTTTTGTTTAAAAGTTACATTTAAAATAATATTCCTCTCCATAAGATGTTATATAATTTACACAAGGTTTCTACCTGGTCTGGAATTTGATTTAAATATTTTTTAGGTCCCAGTCATCATTGGGGGGAAAAAAATGAAAAATACGAGTATGGAATATTATTAAGATTCTCAATGCCATTCTGCCTGTAAAACTTTCTCACTGTAGAAATATCCACCATCATTCATAAGATCTGTTGGTTATTATAAATAAAGGAAATAAACAACAACTATAGAAAAGTGTGAAAAGTATACTTAGAAAACGTGAAGGAAGCTATTTTTAGTTCTCTGTGTTTCTATGTGAAAGAAGAAGTTGGGTCGCCTCTCCTCTCCTTTAGTCTCCTCTCGTCTTCTCTCCTCTCCTCTCCTCTCCTCTCCTCTCCTCTCCTCTCCTCTGTGTGTTGACTTTTTCTCAGAGTGGGAACATAAACACATGCTCCACATTCATCCGTCAGGACCGTTACTCCGCATCTGTTCCTGCTTCTTCGTTTCTTTGTTCTGAATCTGGTGTTAAAGACTATTTTTAGACTCAGGAACTTGATAGAGGGATTTCAAAGGTCTGGACCCAGCTAGCATTGTGAGATAAAGTCACAGCTCTGAAAATAAAGAATGACGACAACCATTTAAATTCACTGTTCACCAGCTGCAGAGTTTACTGCATAAAACTGGCATTAATGATACAGTTTCACTCAATAAAATTCATAAATGTTCTGGATAAATTTTAACGGGCCCAGATGGATCATTTATAGATATGACTCGACTCCAGACTTTGACCCAACTAGGCCTCTGTAGTCTTTGACAGGTTCTGTGTTTAGTGGCTCTGCTGTTTCTCTCTGGCTGATGGAACAACTTAAAGTCTGTGACTAAAGATGTGGACAATGTTGGGCATACAGCTGGAGTAGTAGTTAGTGCGCACCGCCCATGATTCCTTTATCTACATGCTTGCAGTACCCATGATTGGCCATTAGATGGAGATGAAAGATCTGCTCTAACTGACTGCTTCCATTTCTTTGACTCCTCAGATGGATCAGCTTTCAGATGAGGAGGTAGAGGTCAGGGGGGAGGAAGATGAGGAAGAAGAGGACAGTGATAAGGACGACCAGGACCTGGATAAGATGTTTGGAGCCTGGCTGGGAGAACTGGACAAGCTGACCCAGGTACAGAGCAGGATGTGGATCTAATCCCTGGCAGTGGTGGAAATGTAGACTTAACTCCTCCATGTGTGCAGAGCTTGGATGACGGCCGTCCGGAAGGTTCCCCTCAACAGAAAGCTCCCCTCAGACAGGAGACCAACATGGCGAACTTCTCCTACAGATTCTCCATCTATAACATCAATGGTGAGACGTGCGTCGATGTAACGCGCCGCTCTGCTGCCTGCAGTCCATCTTCATTCATGTCTGGTTTGTGTTCAGAGGCCCTGAATCAGGGGGAGAATGTGGACCTAAACGCCCTCATGGCCGACCTCTCGTCCATCGAGCAGGAGCTCAGCACCATCAACACCAAGTCCAGTAGCAGCGGAATGGCCCGGCTGGGACTCACAGACACCAAGGTGCCCGTCTGGTTTGTTGTTGATTATTTGGAGTTCTTCTCATCTTGCTGCAAATTTCAAAAACTCTCATCTGGTTTGCAGGTGAGGCAGAAGCCTCCGGCTGGGCGCAGCAGCAGGCAGCCGTCGACAGGGGGCGCCGGTGCTGTTAACAGTGTCTCTGGTGGGGGGGGCAGCAGCGGGGCGAGCAGCAGCAGCAGCAGCACCAGAGCGTCTCCGGCCGGAACCATCAGAGCTCCAAGCGGCCAGCAGGGGAGGCCGGCGCTGGCGTCCAACTTCAGCCTGGATGACATCACGGCTCAGCTGGAGAAGGTTTGATCCCTTTATCCATCTGACGCCAACCTGAGAGATCGGGACATTCCTTCCTTCCTTCCTTCCTTCCTTCCTTCCTTCCTTCCTTCCTTCCTTCCTTCCTTCCTTCCTTCCTTCCTTCCT